TTTGCGTTAAAACCCATTAATTGATAAATGCCTCAAAGAATGCTCAAAAATTGCCTACAATTCGGGATTTATTGTTATAATATTAAAGTATATTCTCTATGGAGTAGAATAGTATACTTGATATGACCACGACTTCGACAAATCACTTACCGTTTTAATGTTTTTCTAGATAAATTTAAATTATAGTACGGTATTCTAATTAATTGTTTTTACCATAAAGTAAAATGTACTTTCTAATATGTAAATGACTCAATATTACATTACGAGTTATATGAAATAAATTACATTGTTACATTCATGACATGTCATTTTTATATAAACTACTGTTCAAGGCTTTTATTGAACATAAATCAAAATCTAGAGATTTTATTATCATATAATTAATAATTATTAATTACATATTTTTGTTATTAGCACATATTATATAAAGGGGTTGACTTTTATTCCCGTCGGTCCGCCGGTCCATAGATATTGATATTTTATATATGTAGTCAATTTAGAATTCATCGCTGGGTTTGAATCCGCAATTTAAAACTTGTTACCTCAAATACTTTACGAGTTAATCGACTTAGAAAATTTTTTATTGAAAATTTTAAAATGACTAAATTTATTGATATAATATATGAGTTTGATGTAGAATCTAACGCTTGTTCCAAATCTGAAATTAAACATTTTATCTCAAATATATTTAGTTATTTAAATTTTAAGGTCGAACAGTTCAAGAAGGACAAATTAAATTCTGAAAGTGATTCGATAATATTAACCCGCGTTAAAATCTACATCAAAATCATATATCATATCAATAAATTCACTCACTTTAAAATTTTCGATAAAACTTACTAAGTCGGATAACTCAAAAAATATTTGAAATAAAACATTTTAAAATCCAAATTCGAGCTCAACGATGAATTTTATATTGATTTTATCGATTTTATACAATATCAATATAAAACTTGTTGACCTGCGGGACCGACGGGAATAAAATTCCACCCCTTATATAACATATTTCTGAGTTCTTTACCACATATTCTTTACTAATGATAGCCTTATTCTGTTTATTCGAATTCAGAACATAAAAATCGGGGTTTAATTGTTAGGCATTTAACGAACACTATTCTCGCATTTTTTAAGAAACAGCAATTCATATATTTTTAGCACTATTTTTGCCGTAATTCACTAATTCTTAACATGAATTGCATTTACACTCACTATCTATAGCTCTGGAGTAAAGGAATTGACTTTTTATTAAAAAAAATATTGTGTAATAAATATAATAATTGTATTGTTTTCCTCGTTTGAGACTCAAATGTGTTTCAATCGTTTTCTCATACTTTATGTATACTTTTTCCGTAATGTATATTCAATTCAATTTATATTTCCTATTCCTTTACAATTAGGGTTGTACTCGTGTAATATTACAATTTTAACTTTATTGTCATTTTTAATTTAGCATGGGCTAATATTAATTTTATGAGTTTCCCCATGTTAAAGTATAACCATAGGATTAACATGGGATCCCATGTTATTTCCCATAGAGTGTGGAGGGGAAGGGAGAGAGGGGGGCCGAACGATCTTATACATCACATTCTTCATAAATGAATTGTTGTTAAAAATTAATAGCGACATTAAATTACCATTGTAATTAATTGATTTAATTTGATATACAATAATGAACTTATTAACCATAAATAACATATAAACTTGTTACTGAATTTATTATTCTTATCCCAAAAATTACAATGTTTTGAACTTAATTGTAATTCTAATAGTTATTTTGAAGATATTATTAATATTACAAGTGATAGTGATTGTAATAAAGTCTGTAATCAACATTCAATAAAGAACTGAACATTAGTTGAATTGAATTTATAGATGAAATGAATGTTACGGAATATGACGGCAAATGAGGTAATATGATGTAATATGGCGTAATATGACGGTGTGATACAACCCTATGTACAACACATCATTGATAGCGCCACTGCTATGTGGTATATCAAGTAGAGTACACTCTGCGTGTATAGCCTGTAGTCGCGTATCGCGTATTCAGTGGTTGTTTGCAACTCCAAGTGATTAGTCGTAAATCACATCTCAATCCAAGACTCCATTCATTGTTAAGACTTTCCTCTGTTTTTGGTTTGATTTAAAGGGAAAAACGGTTTCGGGTTTTAATTGAGTGGAGAAAAGCCTTCAAACCATTAAAACCGCATTAATTTAATGTTTGACTCAAATATCAATTATTTGAACACAAATTGACGTAAATTTGAAGTGATTTTTGCAAAACTTGTCACTAAATTGGAAATTATATTATATTTGACGTAAAGAAACAAAACTTATTTGAATAATGAATAAACTATTTGTATATTTTGTTCATTTATTTGTGCAGTGATTGCGAGACATAATGTCAGCTAAAGCTATACGAGAGGCCACCGGAAAGGACTTATTGAATAGGTTTTTGAAGGGCTCGGCCAACACATCCCGGTATGCCGTCGTCCACGAAGACACCAATTTCAGTGATCTCGTGGCACAACAGCCGTGGCTTAAAACTGAGGTAACTTTTGGTCGGTTTTACACGTGAATGCGTTAATGAGTGTTACGTTTGTTATAGCGTTTAGTCGTAAAACCGGATCAATTGATCAAAAGGAGAGGGAAATTAGGATTAATTTTAGTGAACGCAGACATCGATAGCGTCAAGAAATGGGTGGCCGACAGAATGGCCAAAGATATTCAAGTAAGTGATGTGTGAAGTAATTGCAGTCAAATATGCTTTTCATAATAATAATGACAACACTTTTCATCAAATTTATGCTATTCATTGAATTCCAGGGAAAAATTGCAGACAATTTTAGTGATATGTTTTGACATTACTTCGCTTAACGCTATTTTATTTTTATTAATAATGAGAGAGAGAGAGAGAGAGAGAG